AACAGCTGTCGGCTTCATCAACGCCCTTTCGGGCCCAGTCCGGCCTACAATTGTCTCCAGACCCACGATTAATGGTTGGCTTGTCGTTGCTATGGGCAAACCAATCGAGGGGCACTTGGTGGGCAATGAGTGTTGTCCAAGCATCCCGTTTTGAAGAGCTAGGAGCCACTTGGCCCCTCGAGCCCACTCCCCACGTCCCTGTCGGAGCTCCCCCCACCATCATTTACCCGCCTGAGCACCGCGAAGCTGTGACCTCTCCCCTCCTTTGTGTGGTTTTAAATTTGTGGCCCCCTTGAGCATCGCGAATGAAAATATCAAAGGAATTTAAATTGAATGATTGCTTTCTGTGGCGTGATGGACCTACTGCGCTGCCCGCTTTTCCAGGCTTCATTCTTCCAAGGCCCAGAGAATATAGTCCGGATTTTACCTGAGGCCAGCCTGTTTAATCTCACTCCCTCCATTTTCGTCATACTGAGAACGGATTTTTCCAGAGGGAAGTTCAGGAATGGACATTGAATTTTATTCGAAAGCGATCTTACAGTGGCTTCACTTAGGCATGAGGCCTATTTATAGCCTCGGCTCGAGAGGCCACAATGGGCTCCAAACAGGCCTGTATGAAGCAGCGAAGCCTCTTTAATTAGCTTCATTCATCCCAACATAACCAGGGGACTGACATTTACAGCAGGAGTCGGCTCTCAGGGGGATGGAGTCAACATGATGGACAAGGCCTCTCCATGTCTTTCAGGAGAACTGGCCCCAGTCTCCAGGACGATTGCAATGTACCCCTTGGTTTCCTGATCCTTTGTGCTCTAAGGGTAGGTTGCCTCAATGCTTGGCTTGTCAAGTGTATCAATTGGCTCTTTTTGGTATTTGAGGCAGACACATGCATCATATTCTTAAAAAAAAAAATGCCCTGGACACGCCATATAGTAGCCACAAGGCTGTTTGTTCCAGTTTTGTCTTCAACCTCCATCTTCACCATCTCTTGCACGAGGATTTGGTTTGAATTTATTCATGGGATGTGGATGTTGCTGGCTGGGCCCGGCATTTATTGCCCCGTTCCCCCTAATTACCACCCTTGAGAAGGTGGGGGTGAGCCGCTGCAGTCCCGTGTCGTGTAGGGACCCCCACACAGTGCCCTCAGGGAGGGAGTCCCAGGGTTCTGACCCAGCAACACTGAAGGAACGGCCGATATATTTCCAAGTTGGGGACGGTTAGGGGCTCAGAGGGTGAACTTGCAGGGGTTGGTTTTCCCATGTACCTGCTGCCCCTTGTCCTTCTGGTTGGAAGTGGGTCGTGGGTTTGGAAGGTGCTGTGTGAGGAGCTTCAGTGAGTTACTGCAGTGCATCTTGTAGACGGTACACACTGCTGTGACTGAGCGTCGGTGGTGGGGGGAGTGGGATGATGGTGGATGTGGGGCCAATCGAGCGGGGGCTGCTTTGTCCCTGGATGGTGTCGAGCTTCTCGAGTGTTATTAGAGCTGCCCCCATCCGGGGCAAGTGGGGAGTATTCCATCACATTCCTGACTTGTGCCTTGTCGATGGTGGGACAGGCTTTGAGGGGAGTCAGGAAGGGAGTTACTGAATGTTGAGAGCTGCTTACAATTGGGGATATATGCAAAAAAGATGTGCAAAGCCTGAATAAAAATTACCACACAAATTCAGAAGAAAAGTGGTGTGAAATGTGCACATAAATTAACATTGGGTGGGTCTGATATCAGAGGAAGATAATTTGACTTTGCATCTCTTCCTCTCGATGGTATAAACTATCTCATTGAACAATCACAATGAGATGTAAATTGTACAATTCTTTACTGTAGTTCATCCAGGGCAAGTATATCTTTAAATACCAGACCATAGGTCTCCAGGAGTTCCTCAGGTAGTGTCCTAGGCTCAACCATTATCAATGACCTTCCCTCCACCATAAGGTCAAGAGTGGGGAATGTTCACCGATGATTGCACAATGTTCAGCACTATTCCTGCCTCCTCAGACACTGAAATGGTCCATGTTCAAATGCAGCAAGATCTGGACAATATCCAGGTTTGGGCTGACAAGTGGCAAGTAACATATATGCAACACAAATGCCAAGCTATGACTCTCTCACTCTCTCACTCACACACACACTCCCTCTCACTCTCTCTGTCTCACCATCCCTCTCACTGTCTCTCTCACAGTCTCTCACTCACTCTCTCTCTCACTCTCCGTCTCACCCACACCTTTCACTCACTCTCTCACTCTCTCTCTCATCCTCCCCCTCTCTCTCTCTCACTCACTCTCTCACTCTTTCTCTCACTCTGACTCTCACTCTTCCTCTCACTCTCTGACTCTTCCTCACTTCTCTCTCACTCTGCCTCTCTCACTGTCTCTGTTTCTCTCTCTCTCTTTCTCTCATTCTCCCTCTCTCAATAGAGGACATTGGTGCAACAGGAGCGTATTCACTCTGCTGCCTCTAGGCTTTATCATGAAGGAAGAGCTGAGGGATGGGACAGATCATGTCGGCTGAGTCTGGAATTCCTTAGAACGAGCAGAGACTTTAAGAGTCATAGAGATATACAGCACGGAAAAAGACCCTTCGGTCCAACTTGTCCGTGCCGACAAGATATCCTAAATTAATCCAGTCCCATTTTTCAGCATTTGGCCCGTATCCCTCTAAACCCTTCCTATTCATGTCCCCACCCAGATGCCTTTTAAAAGTTGTAATTGTACCAGCCTCCACCAATTCCTCTGGCACCTTATTCCATACATTCTCTCTCACCTTCTCTTTCTCCCTCTCTCAGTGAATCACTGCACATGTGGTCACTGCCTTTGTCTCTCTTTCTCCTTCTTTCAGTGCCATTGTTTCGATCTCTTTTCCCCCCTCCCGAAGTTCCAAAACAATGCAACAGCTTATAAAACAGTAATTACAGCTCCTAGAATTTGAGGAATTCAGCTCCAACACTGAAATTACTCAAGAACGTAGCAGGTCTCACAGCCACAATTTTTTTTCCCTGTCCTCCACCTTGGATTACCCAGAATCCCTTATGGAATGGTACAAGATGCTGAGGGCACCTGACCGGGTGTAAGCCAGGAGGATTTAACCCCCTTGTTGTGGGGAGGGGGGAGACGTTGAGAACGAGGGGACACAGTTTAGAAGTTGCAGCTGCCAGACTTTCTTTCCCGGGGGGAAACTGCTCCCTTTCTGCTTATGGTGCTGACTCCCCACTCTCTCGGTTCCCCACAGGTTGACAGGTACCTGAACCACATGAGGCTCTCGGATGGAGTCCTGCATGAAATATCGGACCGCTTCCTGGCCGGGATGAAGAAAGGTCTGAATAAGAGCACCAACGCCACGTCCTCTGTGAAAATGCTGCCAACATTTGTCAGATCCACTCCAGACGGGACAGGTGAGGTCGGGAAGGGAGGGAGCAGAGGGAGGGAATTTCATTCCTGCTTAGACACGCCTGGACAACACCTGGAGAAGGATTATGGGATACTTACCTTCGTTAACCGAGGCGTAGAGTTTAGGAACAGGGAGGTTTGGCTGGGAACTGTATATAAAACGTCGGTTAGGCCACACAGAGAGTATTGTGCGCAAGTTCTGGAATTCACATTATGGGAGGGATGTGATAGCGCTTGGAGAGGGGGCAGAGGGAGATTTACTAGGATGTTGCCTTGTGGGGAGCTGGAGAGTTTCAATTCTTGGAGACAGATTGGGACAGACTGGGTGTTGTTTTCCTTAGAGCAGAGGGGATTGAGAGGGGGGGGGCATGACTGAGATGGATAAAATGATGAGGAGTATGGATAGGGAAGACAGGAAGGAACTTTTCCCCTTGTTGGTGGGGCTCAATGCCCAGAGAGGGGGAGGGCATAGATTTAAAGGAAAGGGGCAGGAGATTTAGAGGGGGACGTGAGGAAAAATGTTTTCACCCAGAGGCTGGTGGGGAATCTGGAACTCACTGCCTGTAAGGGTCCCTTATTCTCCAGCATGGAGAGAAACGGGAGTGGGGGATTGGATACAGACTGCCTTGGACATTCTGATCCCCAACAAATATTTCTGTCCCAAGGCTCGGATGAGACACAATATTCGGAAGGCTGTCGGCACTGTGTGCATACTCTCTGAATTCACACAGTGTCTCTCTGGTTAATTGTTTTTCTCTGGCTGCCTGGCTGCTATCAGAAATTCTGACCTTGCACCAGAAATATGATTTTTTCCTTCCTCAGTGTTCTGAAGAAAGAAAGATTTTGAACTCAAGTTCAGGGCTCTTTGGCTTGTCAATTCGAAGGTGATTCGCTGACCCTTCCCCTTCAGTTGTCAGCGATGACCCGGTACAGGGCTAGCGACAGAGGTAAAATTTCTACACTGACACGAAATTCCGTTCTGCCAGGACCACTCAGCTACTGAGCTCAGAGCAGCCTCAGTTCATATGTGGACAAGATGCCACAAGGCATAGGAGCAGAACTGGTCCATTCAGCCAGAGAGTGCACTGTCTGATCTTACTGAGCTCCTGCCTTTTCCCCACAACTTTTTCTGATTCTAAATAAATCTATCTCAGCTTTGATGACCCACTCTCGGAGGTAAAGAATTCCACAGATTCTCTCCCCTCGGGAGAGAAGAAATTCCTCCTCATCTCTGTCTTTCATGGGTGAACCCTTAATCTGAGGTTACACCCTCTGGCCCCAGACTCTCCCATAAGGGGAAACAACTCTCTCCACATCGCCCCCTGTCAAGTTACTCTAAGAATCCTGTCTGTTTCAATAAGGTCGCCTCTCATTCCTCTAAATGAGTACAGGGCCCGACCTACTCAACCTCTCCGCATAAGATAGTCCCTCCGTACCCGGGGTCAGCCGAGTGAACCTACCATGGGCTGCCTCCGATGGCCAGTCTATCTCTGCTTGGATACGGGGCCCCGAAATTGTTCACAGCATTCCAGCTGTAGTCTGACTCGTGCCTTGTGCAGTTTTAGCGAAACTTCCCTACTTTTATACTCCATTCCCTTTGGAATAAAGGCCAACCTTCCATTTGACTTCCTTATTCTCCACTGAAGTTGGATGCTGGCTTTTTTGAGTTTCAGTCTTTCTCCATTTAAACAATATTCATCTCCTCTGTTTCACCTGCCAAAGTGCATCGCCTCACATTTCCCCACATTACAGCCCATCTGCCCCATCGTAAGAGCTGAATTCCAAAGGGGAGGTCAGAGTGACAGCCCTTGACATCAAGACCACTTTCGACCGAGTGTGGCATCAAGGAACCCCTAGCAAAACTGGAATCAATGGCCATCAGGGTGCAAACTCTCCACTGTTTGGAGTCATACCTGGCACATAGGAAGATGGTCGTGGGAGCCTCAACTCCCTGCTCTGTTAATCAGTGCCCTGATTAATAAAGCCGAGGGCACACTGTGCTTTGTTAAGTGCCCTTTCCACTTGTTGTGCCACTTTCAGTGATCTGGGCACATATAGCCCCCACCTCCCTCTGCCCCCTTTAGAACGGTACCCACTATTTTATGTCGGCGTTCGATATTCTTCCAACGGAAGCACATTTTATTATAAAGAAAGTCTGGAATTGTTTTAATGATGACCATGAAACGGTTGTCGATTGTCAGGGGAAAAAAATACCCTATCTGGTTTTCTGATGACCTTTGAGATCTGCCATCCTGTGTACACGTGACTCCAGCCCCCCCTCCCCAGTGATGCGGTCGCCTCTTAACAACCCTCTGGGGCAATTCGGGGATGGGCCATAAATGCTGTGCCCAACCAGCAATGCTCACATCGTCATAAATTAATTTAAAACGACATATCTGTCTCTATATATACATGCAAAGATTTTTGCCTCTGGGATCCAGCCCCTTGTGTTTCGGACCAGTTCGAGAAAGTTAAATATGCCGGCAGTGATGAGACAGTTTTGCACGGCTCTCAAACTCTGGGTCATTTTTCATCCATAATCTCGCAGCGAAGTTACTGCCCCCACTGCCTCAAAGCACTGCTGCTGTTTTCCGTTCTCTCCTATTGTCAATAGCGCTCTTATCCACGGCTGTGTCAAAGCTTTCTTCTTGAGGAAACCAGGTGTTCACTGGATATTTGCCACATCAGCCTTTTAATCTCTGCAAGCCTTCGAAAATCTGCTGCCCTCTTAGTGGTTACTCTGCATGAATGACTGCAACTGGCCACAGAGCTGATTCCAGTCCATTCGATGATATCTGGCGCAGGATTGATCAGTCATCCTCTCGGTGGCCTCTCAGAAACCGAGAGCCAGTCTCAGACTGACACCCAGACCCCTGAGTTCCTTTCTTGGCAACGAGCAATGGTTTGCATCCACTTTCTGGATAAGTGAGCAAATGTGAGGCCGATGCAGTTTAATGGGGATGGGTGTGAGGTTATCCACTCTGAGAACAGAGACAACAAGCTGGAGTATTAACCCAACAGAGATTGATTTGGTAAATCGGGGGGAGTTGTAACAAGACCTGGGTGTCCCTTGTACACCGCTCGCTGAAAGTCAGCTTCGCCAGAGCAGTGGGGCAGGTGAGGAAGGCCAATGGGACGTTGGCGCCTTCATGGAGAGATTGGAGTACAGGAGCAGGGATGTCTTACTGCAATTGGACAGGGAGAGACCGCACCCTGGAGTACTGCGTATGGGAGGTTTGGGGGTCTCAATATCTGAGGGGTGGGGGTTCTGGCGATGGAGGGAGAGCAGCGAAAGGTTTCCCAGTCTGATTCCTGGGATGGCATGGACTGACGGATGAAGGGAGACTGGATCAGGAATATAGGATTATGTTCACTGGAGTTTAGAAGGCTGAGGGTGGGGGAAATCTCATGGAGCCCTATCGAATGCTAACAGGGACTAAACAGGGTAAAAGATGTTCCTGATGACCCGATGCGGGTGCGGAGGGGGTAGGTGTGGGGCAGGGTTGCGGTGGGGGCGGGGGGGAGTCCAGAACCAGGGGGTCACAGTCCAAAGATACAGGGTAGGACTGAAATTACGAGAAATGTCTGCATCTCAGACCTCTGTAACCTCACATCATTTAGATAACCTGCTGTCTTTTATTTCCACTCCTTTTGCCAAAAATGGGCAGTTTCACTTTTGCCCACATTTTATTCCATTTGCCCACTCACTTAACCTATCTCAGTCCCTCTCCAGGCTCCTCATGTGCTCTTCACAGCTCGTTTTCCTGCATAATTGTGTGTCGTCAATAAATGGAACGATTTGGATCCTGTGTTTTAACAAATTTGAGGGGATTTTAATTAAAAAGCCCTGTGGATTTAAAGCTTTCTCTATCTCTCTCTATCCCCACATTCCACCATGTCTCATTGAGATCTCGCCCCACCCGTCACTTCCGCTCCCAGAAATGCCAGCACTGCTCCTCTCCCGGGCACCAATCTGCCTCCTGCTGTTGGCAAGGGGAGATTGGCACGTGCGGAAATAGCCTGGTGATGGTGGGAGTAGGATTAACATTCAGTAATCATCCCTTCGGCCCGAATCTGAAATCTCTATCACTCTGACCTCCTGCCCTCAGTGTTCATTGGGTGCCAGACCTCGTTTGCTCAGGTCCCTGTAATCAGGCTGGTGAGGGGGCGTCTAGTACTGGGACAGGGACACCACCCAAGTACGTCACGTACCCAGCACTCCCCTCCTCCCAGGTTGGCGTCCGAGAGGAGCTGATGCGCCTGTGGTGATGGGGCATGTGCTAACTGTGCGTGAGCACCCAGTCCACGGTGCGCTTGGGGAATGGTCGACGGCACTTTTTGTCAAGACCCAGCAGGTTCGCTGGTGCTCCGTTGGTGAAGGAAATGGGCTATCCAGTCCACGTGACTCCTGACGGTTTGACTCTTGACTGTGGCCTCTGGGCACTTGAGGATGGGCAGTAAACGCTGGCCCGCTCAGCGATGCCCACATCCCATTGATGAGTGAAAGAAGGCAGATAGCCAAGTCAATTGGCAGGAAACGTGCTGCATAGATGATCTAATTCAAGCCTTTATAAATGTTGAGAGAGTCTGGTATGGTCAGTTGAGGGAATTTGCACTTCTTCGGGGGTGAAATCTTTAGGAGGGGCATTGAGGATGGGGGAACCCGCGTCCAAAACTGGCACAATTGTCTCAAATGCCCAGAAATCTGACTCAGTCTCCCTTGCGTTTGGCAGAGAGTGGCGACTTCCTGGCTCTCGATCTAGGGGGCACTAACTTCCGGGTGCTGAGGGTCAAGATTTCGGACGACGGGAAGCAGAAGGTGGAGATCGAGAGCCGGATCTGTGCCGTTCCGGAAGAACTGATGCACGGGACGGGCACTCAAGTAGGTGCCAGCCTCCGAAAACCCTCTTTACCACTCCTCTTCCCCCGACCTTGGAAGGTCAAGTGTAACCTTGCCATGTCTAGTTGGCTGTGCCCATCTCGGGTGTCCCAGGCCCCGCAGCAGCTACACGGTCATTGACCAAGAAAGAGGCTCTTCGGCCCATCCTGTGCAGGACAGACATCAAGCACCCAACCCCCTCAAACCCCGTTACCCAGCTTTGGCATTGCAAGTGCCCATCGAAATCCATCGTCGATGTGAGGAGGGCTTTCGGCCTCCCCCACCCTTTCAGTTCCAGATTCCAACTCCGAGAGGGACAGTAAATTCTAAATAAAAACCGAAAGAGCTGCGGATGCTGTAAATCAGGAACAAAAAAAAACGGAAGTTGCTGGAATAGCTCAGCGTCTGTCAGGAAAAAAAAAGGTCAGAGTTAATGTTTTGGGTCAGAGACCCTTCCTCATAACGGATGGTAGTTCTGGTACCATCAGTTCTGAGGAAGAGGCACTGGACCCAACGTTAACTCTGATTATTTTTTTCTTCATAGATGCTACCAGACACGCTGAGCTTTTCCAGCAACCTCTGTTTGCGTTTGGGAAAATAAATTCCCCTCAAAACCCTTTAGCCGTACATGTTCACTCCCTGTTTATTGCCCACCCTCGACTAAAAAGGGAAAGGCTTCCCCCCTCCAGCTGCCAACTACCAGGGCTCTGCCCCTCATAATTGCGAGGAACTCAATCAGGTCCCCTCCTTAGGGCTCTCAACTCAAAGGAGGACAATCCCAGCCTCTCTTCGTTGCTAACCTGCTCCATCCCAGGCAACATCCTGGTGAAGGGCCTCTGCATCCCCTCCAGTGCAATGCCACCTGACAGTCCGACAGTGCGGAACTACACATAATCCTCCATTTGTGGCCTAACCTTATGGTAACACCTCATAACCTCTCATGTTGACTCAACGAATAAAGGCTCGTGTCCAGGGAGCTCCCTTAACTGCTTTATTTACTTGTCCTACTTTATGAATGGAAGACTTTGGCATCGTCAAGTGTAAAGGTGCCATTTCCTCTCCCTTGAGAGAGACGCCAAGCCACTAAGCTTCGTGATCCAAACAAGCTACAGTTACGGGTGGACTTCCTCTTCTTCCTGTCTCCCTGGGTTCTCATGGCACTAATGTGCCTTCTTCAAAGTGGTCAGAACGTGTCGGAAGAAGCGCTGGATTGGGCAGTGAGTCAAGCCCCATCCACATATAAACCCCCATTAAACAAAAAAAATCATTCCGCCATCAAAGATATTCATGAGCTGCTGGAGGAAGTGCATGAGCCAGTATGTCTCTTCATGAGACCGTTGATAACTTGTTACTGTAAGCCATGGGACAAGGCCATTCAGCCCATCGAGTCTGCTCCGCCATTCAATGGCTGATCTGATCATCCTCAACTCCCACTCCCCACCCCTGCCTGGTGCAGTGTGTACCAGATGCACTGCAGCAATTCACCAAGGACCCTCAGACAGCACCTTCCAATCCCATGGCCCACTTCCATCCAGAAGGACAAGGGGCAGCAGATACATGGGAAAACCACCCCCTGCAAGTTCACCCTCCAAGCCCCTTACCGTCCCTGACTTGGAAATATATCAGCCGTTCCTTCAGAGTCGCTGGGTCAGAATCCTGGAACTCCCTCCCTGAGGGCACTGTGTGGGGGTCCCTACACCACACAGGACTGCAGCGGCTCACCCCCACTTTCTCAAGGGGGGCAATTAGGGGGAACGGGGCAATAAATGTTGGGCCTGGCCAGTGATAATTATGTCTTACGAGTGAATTCGTAAAAACACTCTATCTTTTCCCCCTCAATGTCACTGTACACATTGGACTGTTGTCATTTCATTTTTCTCTCTTGTCACCTACCCCGTCTTTCAGCTCTTCGATCATATCGCCAACTGCCTTGCGGATGTCATGGAGGAACTGAACATTAAAAATGAGAAACTCCCCCTCGGTTTTACCTTCTCGTTCCCCTGTCGACAGACCAAACTGGATGAGGTGAGAGAGAAAAAGACACTGCAGTACTCTAACTGTGGAGGGCACCTCCAGTGGTAGGTGGAGAGATCTTAGAAAGTATGCCATTGCTTTCTAAATCGATGGTGGCTCTCCTTGTAGTCGAATGATTGACGTTGCTGGAACTACTGAAGCCTGAGGCCTAGGCTAATGCTTTCTGCAGGGGGAATCGTTGGTCTGGAAATCCCGGCTTGGCAGCCAAGGTTCCGTTCTGAAGTTGCATCCGGTCGCGGAATTCACCCCGTCCGGTCTCGGATTTGCTTCGGGACCTCTTTCCCTCAGCAACAGTCCTTTAGAAATGGTGGACAGATTGCCCATTTCTGGCTGACGGGGAAAGCAAAAATACAAGAGGCTGGAGTTGAAAGTGAGTGTCAGCGAGTGACGGCAGAGCCACAGCCACTGAAGGAGGCCATTCGTGCCTGCATCTCTCTTCTATCCCCCCAGTGCCCAATCTCCAGCCTTTTCCCCTCTCATCCCTACACGCCATTCCTATCCCCATACCCAACAATGCCTCTCTCCAATGTCTGAGTTGTCCCTGCCTCCACTGCATTTCAGGCAGCGCATTCCACCCCCAAACTACTCGCTGGGGCAAAATTGAATTTCTCACATCACCCTTTGTTTCTTTCGCACGCCACGTTAAACCTAAACCCCTCTCATTCTCAATTCCTACACGAGCAGGAACAGCTCCTCCCTATCCACTGTCTCCAGCACGCTAACGATTTTGAAAAACTTCTCCCAGATCTCCCTCGTCTCTCCAAGGAGAACGCTTCCAACTTCTTCAATCTATCCTCATCGCTGGAGTTTCTCATCCCTGGAGCCGTTGTTGTAAATCACTTCTGCGGTATTTCTTCAATACTGTTCACATCTTTCTTATCATATAGCGCCCATAACCGCACGCAATACTCCAGGTGAGTGTCTTGTACCAGGTTGACATCACCTCTTGTGCTCGGTGCCCCTGTTTATAAAGCTGAGGGCACTATGCGCTTTATTAACTGCTTTCCTGCCAACCTTCAGTGATCTGGGCCACAAAAACCCCAATCTCCCTCTGCTCCTGCACTGCCTTTTCAAACCAGACGTCACCTCCTTTCGGTTCGGACCTCGCGATTTACAGCCCACTGCTCTCGAGTCTCTGACGTGAGGCATGTCTTTTTGTCCCTGGTTTCTGCTGCAGAGCATCTTGGTTCACTGGACAAAGGGATTTAAGGCGAGCGGAGTCGAGGGACGCGACGTGGTCACTCTCCTCCGTCAGGCGATTCAGAGGCACGGGGTAAGAGCTGGTGTCTTTACGATCTGAGGAATGTGCTGTTGTTGGCTTTCCAACCGTCTTTTGCCTTTAGTCACGTTTTTTAAGGAGCAGAGTTTGCTGTGGGAGGAGAAGCGATTCTCCGGGATTAATTGCATCTCTCTGTGAAGCATTGACTGACTAAATTTCTCCCCCACTTGCCCTCCTGTGATTCCTAAAACAGGACTTTGACATCGATGTTGTTTCCGTTGTCAA